GACCACCCATCCCCGGCCCCTCAGTGATGGGTGAAGGTTGATCGCGGGATATGCCCAAATTAACCAGGGTATGTGCACCATTTATACTCCTGACTCCAAGGGGGTCTTCCTCCATCGATATTATATCACCAAACTGTTCCACCCAAATTGAAAATTCAAAACACTATTTTATCAAAATAATGGTTGTCAAACAAAGGCAAAATGACGATTTTTAAGAATCACGTCAACAAGTGGACTCATTTGCATTGCACGTCTGAAAATCTTGACATTATATGTGGGAGCCCCATTTCAAATCAACTTGCAAAAAAAAAAAAGAAAATTTGCAGGCTAGGAATCTTTTTGGAGGTATTGGAAAAATTGAATATTTGTAAGAAGCATTGGACAATACACAGAATTTTGTAAGAACCAATTTTTTCGATATTATACTTATTTTGTTGATTATGGTTGTGTTGCATTATCGTATCGAACAAACTATGAAAAATAAAAAGATAAAAAATACATGACAAATGGAAACTCAAAAGCAAGAGAAAGAGATGGTATAAAGTTCATATAAACTCAACATGTTGAGTACTTTTCATCCCACTAAACAACATAATATTGCAACCTCAAAAGTTTTAGGCGTGCCAAATGTATAAAAGTGGGGTACAATATTATGATGAACCCAAACCATCCTATTTTTAAATTTTAAAATTTTTTCTAGACAAATTGAACCCCACATTGGCATAAGCATGCTCAATATATCCATATTTCCTAAGGGGAAAAAAAGAAGAAAAGAATTCTATTAATTAACTAAAACCCTAAAATCCCATTAATTCTCCCACTTTTTACTCTTTTAAACCCCTCACCACACCTAACACCACCACCACCGTCGTCACCCCATTCCTGGTCGACTTACTTTCTACGAGTTGTAAATGTTTGAAACATGACGCTCCCAATGGCTGGGAACTCATCCATCGTACAACTCCGGAATTTCATTCCAAGTGGTTCAATTGCTTTTGCTACGCACTTCCACACTTTGTGACTGGTGTAGGTTGTGGACACAGAAACTGTCCCTGGCCTAAAAACTTGTACTGCCTTCTTCAACACCTCAACGATTTCATTGGGATTATCGTAAATCGAGCCCACACACTCAAAGCTTGCATAACTAAAACCGTCCTCTGGCGTGACATGGATTGTAGAATACCGATCGCCTAGAATACCATTCATGGAATACCCACATGGATCAAATGCAAAGTCACATATAAGAGCATCAGGGTTAATATCACCAATTCCTGTCATCTCAGTCATCTCCATCCCAGCCGAATCGCCATTTTTCCCATCGTTCGGACGCCGGAAAAACTTTCCTGCCAAAACCTTATCAAGCTCTGTCATGCAAACCTCAATAGTGTACTGCTCATCAGGCATGTTTTGCATTAAAATGTGAGATTCATCACATGCAGAAAACACATGCCATGAATGAGAAGACAACTTAGAGGGCAAAACAGAGGCCTTTCTGTAATAAAGATTGTTAGGCAAATTATTCTCCAAGAAAATGATTTCTTCTTTAAAACTTGTATGTGGGTAGGGTTGTGCTTTAGGGAAGATGAAATTTCCTCTGGTGTACCTACATAAACAGATCATGAGGCCCAAGGTACAAGCGTGATGGATCAATGGACGGATGGATTTCAAAAGCTGGGTGGTCCCACATGTTTTGATGATAATCTTGGTAGGATACACAAATAAGCTTGATTCTGAGAGTACATAAGAGTCAAAATAATGGTTGCCAACTGCTGATACAACTGTGCATTGCACTGCATGCAATACTTTCTCCAGTGACTCAAAATCCAGCAAACGAAGACCCATATTACCGATCACCGGATCGTCGCCGGAGAAGTGTAATTCAAGCCTTTTTTCGAAGCCTTCAAACCCTGAAACCGCCATTGATGATATAAATTAAAGCAAAAACAGTTCTGATAATGTTCAAACAAGAACAAGAAGAAGATAATAATCTTATATATGAGATGGAATTGTATTTTTTGTATGTATCGTGTATAGAGTGAAAGAGGTAGAGATACCATGGTTGGTACAGGAATGTGAGTATATATAGGGAGGAGAAAGAGAGGGGAGGTGGGTTGGGGGGTAGAGGGAGCATGCGGGTAAGGCAACAAGAAATATGATTTGCAGGCAGAATGAGTACAAGATGATGGTCATTTTTGTATGTTGTGAGATCTTTCTTGAGACAATAACATGAATCTGAATTCATGCCCACTCCCATTTATTGTTCTTCTTTGGAAACAAACATTTTTTCCCAATGAAACATAATGATTTTTTTACCTCAATTCAATTATATATACACAAAATTTATAGTTTTACTTGTATATTTAGATAAATTGGCATAGAGCTACTTTCTATGTTATAACTACAGCATTTACAATTTCTTCGCCAGTCAAAAAATAAATAAGTCGTGAATAAATGATTATTACTTGTAGGTTTTACGAAAATGTGTGAATAAAAAATTGTTAACTTGTTACAAGCAAATTATAAATAGTCATGCTGTGTTTACAAAGATGAATTACAAAAATGGTTTACAAAATTTGATATGGCATCTTGTCAATCAATGATTTAAAAAACACTTTTTAAAATCAAGATCATAGATTTTGCCACATCATTTTGTAAATCCACTTTTGTACAAGTAGATTGATTCTTATAGATATCTGCCAAACATGATCTCAATCTCATCACCTATAAGAATTGGTACTAAACAAACATTCTCCAATTAAAAGTTGAAGTCTCGTCTTACAAGGAAGCACAAACCTTGTATGTTGGTTACTTATTTCTTTAGAATCAGTGCATGATTTATCCCTTAAGATGTCATTTCAAGATGTTGCTTTATTTGAGAACATTAATTTTGAAATCCGAGTGCTTGTCTGTGTTGAAATTTCATGAAATTTTAGAACTTCAAAACCTAAATTCATTTATTGTCAAGATCCTCCATGTCAAATCATCAAAAAATTTATTAAATGCAGAACATACCTTAATTTATTGGGAATGATGCTTTAATACCGAATTTTGAATTTTGATTATTGACTCTTTTGGTTATTGAGTTTTTGATCTTAATTTTGGTTTCTTGCTTCATAAACTTGATTGTCTTGCTCTTTAATTTAATTACTCCAATTATTCATCTTGATTCTTGATTGTGGTTTTGAATCTTCCTCTTCAATATACTTTCTCTTGTATTGATGTGATAATACAAAAAAATGAGAATCAAGGATGAATTGGGGACCATGACCCTATTTATAGTTTTCATATGCAACGTCAATCCTAATGCATCTGGTTTCTACACATATAATCCGGCACATACTTTATTTAGATATCATAAACTCAATAATTATTTATTAGATCACTTTAATTGGGCTCAACTTTAAGATAATCTTACACACAATTAATTACATATGTAAACCCACATGACAAATTAATAAACCCAACAATCTTCCACTTGGGTCACATATGTTACTTTATATATGTGTATAACCTTATGATGTCAAAACTTTTGCTATCATAACCAAAAGTATTTTCAAACAATATCGTCCATTGATTATATCAACATAGAATCAAAGCGGTCTTCGTTACAAATATTATAACTAAACACTTAATGGTCACGTCTATGAACAAAAACAAACGACATAGATCATGTAGAATGTATAGCATAAAAATTACATGCAGTGTGATTCAAATATGTATATTTCGAACTGGCTCTACATTATTCTTTAATGAGATCAACCATAAATTTTAATCAGAATGGAACTGAATTGAATACTTTATTTTTGAAATAAATCAAATGCCCATGGATAAAAAATATGTGCCTAAAACAAACAATATCTGAATACAGACTCCCACTAAACTGACATATCATCAAAAGATGTAACATCCATGTGAGTATTATACTCATGAAAGACCTAGGGTGATAGCCCCTTAGTAAGCGAATCCACAATTATAGAGTTTGTCCTAATATATTCCATATAAACCTGAACACTTTAAATTCTTACATTGACAATAGGAACTTAATGTTTATAAACTTTGACATCATCAGGCTCATGTTGAAATATAAGACTGCAATCATATTTCATGATCAAAATCAAAATATCCAATGATCTCCAATTTGTCTGATTTTTCTAAACGTAACCATGTAATCCTTAGTTCTCTGTAAATACCGAATAACCTAATTGGCTGCTTTTCAAATATCCATTCCAGAATTACTTAAATATTTGTCTAGCATTCAAACAATGAATGCTATATCCAAACGTATGCAAAACTTAGTATACATTAAACTCCCAACTGCTGAAACACATAAATTTTCTGTATTTTCATTTCTTTAAGTTTATCATTGAGGTATTAATTGACACTAAACTTGTCTCACTTAACAATAGGGGTATTACATGGTTTACATACATGCATCCCAAATCTCTTAATAATCTTATCAATATAACTATTTTATGATAATGCAAAAAAATACCTTGAGAACAATTTGTATTCGTATCCCTGATATTTCAAAATTCTATGACAGAAATCTCTTAGTTTTTGTGCAATAAGCCTATATCATTGCAAGTAAGCAGTCGTCATCGGCTTGTAATACCAAAAAATATTTTTATTCTCACTGAACTCGTGATATACATAATCATCAACTAAATTCATCTTAAAACCAAAAGAGATAGTTATTTGATGAAATTTGTGATACCATGACGAGAAATCAACTTAAGTCCATAAATGGATTTCTTTAATTTTGTAAACCATCTAACATGGTTTAATATTAAAATGTGTCACAAATGTCATAATAGTCCTAAAAGAGTCTTTCATAGAAATCGAAGAGAAAATCTCTTTAATGTCAATGTCTTCCTTTTGAGTAAAATCATTTACAATAAGACGAACTTTATATCTCTACACATCATCCTTCAAAACCCTCTTGACTTTAAACATCCATTTCCAACCAATGGTGTTCGCACCTTTAGGCAATTATATGAGTTTCCAAATGTCATTGTCCTGAATTTTATCTCTTTATTTATGGCGTCAATCTACTCTTGAGAATAATTCTTTTGCATTGTTTGGTAAAAGTTTATTGATGAGATCTTCTTCTATCAATCCATGTCATCCCTATTTTTTTGGAGAAAAATTATAAAGTTATTCAGAATTTTCTTTCTCCTTTTTATAGTAGATTTCCATAATAACATTTGTTCTTGAGGTTGGTGAGTTTGTTCTTCTGAAATAACATTTTCCTTGTGTATAGGGTTTTTTAATATTGTATTGATTCTAAATTGCTTCTTGAACAAGATCTAGAACAAGCATTTGTCATTATTCTTGATCATTATCAATTGTAACAAAAGAAATAGATATCTTTAACCTTATAAGTTTATCTCCGCCTTAAACCATACATTCTCAAAGAATTGGACATTTCCCATTTCGTAAATTGACCTAATAGTGCGATGTTTAAAAAATTTTAACCCCCTAACCTTTCAAAGTATCTAATAAATTAGCAACTGGCCAGTTTGTTTTTAGATGGCCTATAAAACCTTACCTTAACTAGATAACCTCAAACGTACAAGTGCTTCAAATTAAGCTTCCTACTTGTCCAAAACTCATAAGGGGTTTTAATAGTTGCTTTACTTGAAATTGTATTGAGAATTTAATCTGCAGTCTTTAATGCTTCAACCTAGAGAGATTGTGTTGTATTGTAGGAAGATTTCACATTCATCTAGGAATTTTGCAAAAGGCCTAGACGTTGTTTTCCTGATCCGTCATATTTGTCATAGTATTGACCACTGTAGTAAGATCCGACTTGTTTAATTCTTTTACTGAGTTGATTTTCAACAGTAGTCTTATGAGCTTTGAACTTTTCCAATAATTGAGATTCCATATGAATGAGATATAGGTAGTCATAATGAGAAAATGTCTATGAGCGTAATAAATGATTGTTGACAATTCTAAGATGTCGAAGGAAATGACCCACAGATTTCGTATGAATTAATTCTAAAAGATCCGAAATTTTATTGGTACATAATTTCCTTATATTCATTTATTTCCCCTTAATGTAATTAACACAAACATTAAAGTCTGTAAAATCAAGGAAATCAAAGATTCCTTCTGACACAAGATATTCATTTCTCTTTTGAAAGATGCGACTTTCGCTTGTGCCAAAATGAATTGAAGTTCTCGTTGGTTAATTTATGTTTAATACCACATGAATTTACACGTAATGTTGCTTTACAATAGATAATCATATTAAGAAAATATAGATTATCATAACCGGATACAGAACTGCTATCCATAATATTTGAACTACGAAAAAGATCAAACTGACTATTTACAATTGAATAAGAGTAACCAAATTTATTCAACGTAAACATAGAAATCAAATTCCGTCTAAAAGATGGTACCGCAAATATCTCTTTCATTTTCAAATGATTTTTTAATAATAACCTAAAAGTCTATGTAGTCTCAACCTTAACTGATTTGTCATCGTCCCCACATAGATGACTCTTTCAATATCAATTGGCTTTAGTCTATTCAGACATTCCCACATATACACGCTTTTTTGAATAGTGACACCAAAATTGATTCACTAAGTGTGTCTAGGTATTAAAACTAAATTAACCTTAAAACAAATTAAAGTGAGAAGTGTATTTTTCTTTACATGACAAGTGTGGTATTTAGTACAATCTCTCTTCACGTATCCCATATTTTCACAAAAATAACAGCCATTTTTATCATTTTGAGGTTGCTCTTTATTTTGAATTGAACTGGATGTAGATTTTTAATTCTTTATAACTTGTCATTAGAAGTACTTGTCAAGTGAACACTTCTAGTTCTCTCTTGCTTTAGTCTTTGTTTTTCTTGCACACAATATGAAATGAGCTCATCAAGAATCCACTTTCCCTTTTGACAATTAT